ACCATCTCGGCCCATCGGTGGGGCCTCAGCTGCCAAGGGCAGGGTGGCCTGTGAGATGAGGGCCTCCTCTGCAGAGGACCAGACAGGAGACTCAGTGTGGGCTGCGGGAGGATGGCAGACCCCAAGTGAGGCTGTCGGCAGGATAAGAGGTGAAAATGGAAGCTGCCCAGGAGCTGACACTGTGACGTGATGGAGGGGCTCCGGGGTTCACCCATCAGCATTCAAATCCTGGCTTTGGCAATCACTAGCTGTGTAACCCAGTGTCTGAGGTTCCTCACAGGTGATGAGAGGGCAATGACTGCACCTGCTTCTGAATCTGAATTCAGTCATGAGGGTGAAATCAGAATCAGAATTCTGATTCCATGAGATAAAGCATGTGAGTGCTTAGCACAGGGCGTGGAACATATTAATTACTCAATTAGTACAGCTTCTGTATAATTGAGGGCAGGGGTCACGTGCCCTTGTTCGTGACCTCCTGAAGCTCCAGCCCACTGGCTGTCCTTGGGGTTGGGTCCTGGGCAGTGGAGGCCCTAGCTGGTAGCTATGCCCTTCCTCCTGAATGGAAGGAGTGCCCCTTCCTCCCCACTGACCAAAGGTCTGCTGGCTTCAGGTTAGGACCGGCTTCTGCCGGCAAGCCTCAGGGTGGGTGCAGAAGCCCCACTTCTTTCTTCCTCTCTGAGCAGGGAAACACAGACCCTGGGGCCCAGAGAACTTGGAGTTTTATCCACGGTGCCTCTGTGCAGTTGTTAGTGGGTAGGGAGCTATTATCCTAGCTCCAGGAACAAAGAATAGCCTTGGGGTCATTCAATGTAGCCAGAGAAGAAGGAATAAATGAATGAATTCTCCAGGGAAGAGGCTTAGAAGAAGAGGGAAAGAAGGAGAAGTGGGGGTGAGAGCATGGGAGGAATGCAGCCAATCCAATCCAAGCTTTCACATCCGGCTCAGGACCAAGTTTTGGAAAGCTTGGAAGGCCTGGCTGATTTCGTTTTCTTTATGTCTATGCTCATGGCCACTGTGATTCATTTAAAGACGTTATGTCTGGACCTTGCTGATTGGAAGTATGCTGGGCATGAGTATTTTCAGAATGAGTTAGTCACTGTTTTCATCTCCATCATGATTGCCCTCACCACCAATGCCATCATCAGTATCAGAGCCCTCCCCACTACGACCCCCTTCAGTCCCTTCCTTGAATCTCACAGGTTTCCCTCTGGCACTTCTTAAGGAACACCATTACAGTTTCTGTTGGCAGAATGAAAGCACTATGGTCACCATCACCAGTGACGACATCATTACCGCTGCAAGATTCAGTATCACCTCTGCCCCTGATGTCACCATCACTACCACCTCCACCGTCATAAATGACATCACACCTCTGCCACGAACAGCACTATATCATTAGCCTCACCACCACCACTGACGTCACCATCACCATCACCACCATCATCACTGACATTACTCTATTGCGTTACTGTCACAGAGTCCTGAGAGTGTTGCTTTTCCAGCCGGAAACCTCTGTGGATGGTGATGCCTGCATTTTGCTCAGGCCCACTGCACTTGTTTCCCCACCAGCTTGGCAGGCTGCGTTCATCTCTCTCTACCAGCCTAGAGCCCACACCTGCCAAGGGAGAGCCAGACACAGAGCAGCGAGGGATGTGTGAACGGGTGAGTGTGGAGTCTGGCCACTGTGCACAGTCAGGCATGCTGGCTTTGGTGGGAGGGGCAGCTCCAGATGCCGGCACAGGTGCTGGCACCCTGAGATGATGCAGCTGGACCAGGTATACCACAAGCACCTTCCATGGCTGGCACCAGGGAACACAGTGGTCCATGGAAGCTTGGAGATGCCAAGAATCACAGCACCCCAAAGAAGGTGTCACAGCCCTGGCTCAGGGAGATCCTAGGTCTGGGCTCCCCAAAGGGTGACAGCTCTTCTCGCCTTCTCTCTTCTTCCTGTCACCCGCAACATGGCAAGAAAGCGGCGGGTTTCAGCCCTGTTTGTGTTATAACTCTTTCAACTCTGCCATTCGGTAGGTCCCAAGTTCTCATCCCACTTCCAGGAAGCATAAGGTATGTGGACAGGTGGAGGGTAAGCAAGGCAAAGAGGTGCTTTATTGAGCAACAAAACAGCTCAGAGGAGACATACAGCAGGTAGCTCTTCTCCACAGGCAGGTTGTCCAGTAGTTTGCCTGAGTTTGGCTGAGTCTGAGGTTTTTATGGGCTTCAGATGGGAGGAAGTATGCTGATTGGTCCATGGGTGACCATGGGCAGGCCCAGAAAAACCCCATAGGTTGTCACTCCAGTCTGTGGAACTGGTAGCCTGGCCCCCAAACCTCAGGTCGTCACTGGCCTGATTGTGAGGTTTCCCCAGGATCTGCCCCTTTCCACCCCAGGTCTGCCTGCCTCCTGCTATTATTAACCTGTTGTCCATGGTGGCCATGGCACTCAGGCTGTTCATGATGAGGGGTGCCTGCAGGCCCATGATGAGCCATCCTTAGTACCTCCTCAGCTTCTCTTCTGTGCTTGTCAGTGCCCAGAGTCTAGAGGGGGACCACGGAGGCATGGAGCTGGTATGTCAGTGCTGCCCTAAGCCTGCACTCACCCGGCCGGGTCGTGACAGCAACTGGACTCAGCACAGCTTTGCACCAAAATCAGAGTGGGCACCAGGAGTAGGGAGTGAAGAGATGTCATGTCTGGGTGGCTGTACTTGCACCTGGGAGGGTGGGGCTCCAACTTGGAAGGGGGTGGGGCTCCCACTGGCTTCATGGGGTGTGCAGCCCTAGCTGCACCTCCCCCACTGCAACCAGCATTACGACAGCGGCTGCTCCAGGTGGGCTGCACTGCTATCTGCACATGGACTAAGACAGCACTCAATAAATGTGTGCCGAAATAAACCATCTAGACCCTATCATCACACAAACTCAGGCCCTAGGATGTCATGGCTTCCTACAGTTCTGTCTCTGGAATGGACCCTACTAGAGAAAAATAACACTGGGCTATGTAAATGATAAACTAAGTGAGCCAGAGAAGGGGGAACAAATGAATGAATGATGCAGCCCAGTGTCATTTTTTAGGATCTGCGAAGCCGCACTGTGGAGAGATCTGAACCTACAGTCCACTGGGCTGGGAGTGCTGCAGGTGAGCTGAGAGAAGCTCCACTCTTCCGAGATTGTTTCTTCCGTCACTCCATCACCTGGGACTTATCTGAATCTGGATCAATTCAGTGTCAAGACTTAATTCACCTCATCTTAAGACCTAACAGGTTTTCAACTATGTGCACTAGTATACAGGAGGCTCCTTGGAGATAACACAGGAAACGATGTGAAGTTCAAGAGGGGTCATCGGAGGAGGGGCTCCAGGATCTCCACCCAGGCTTCATCCACAGGGCTCCTGGGAAGGACTGTGTAACAATGACGCTCCAGTGATCCTAAAAACAGGTTTGGCAGCAAGTTGTCTAGAAGGTGAGTTCTTACATGCTGTTTTGAAATAGATGTTTGGCATTGCGTGTAGGTCCCAACCAAAAGCAATCAGCCATCTAATGCCACCAGTCTAAAAGAAGCATTGGAAAATGTTCATCTGATGTTTCTATTGATTCGTCTCTTCCCAAGGCAAAAACTAGCTCAGTAAGTGTCTTTTGCTCTGGTTCTCTACCTCTCTGGCAAAATGCAAACACAGTTACATCCTTGGAGAACTGTCTTTCATGCAGGAACCCTTATTTAAATAAACTGCCTTAGGAACATCAAAGCAAAGGAGAGGTGTAGTATATGAATTTACCCACGTGCCTTCCTGCCTAGCAAACACAAGCCCTTTAGCCAAAGAGAGAAGATGTTGCTGGGGGCATGGGCCCTCATTCTTCAGCATTCCCCCCACCTTCCAGCAAAGACACAGCAGCTAAGAGACTCAGAGCTGGCCCTGGATGGGAGACTGTCACCTGAGGGGAAGGAGACCAGGCACTAACTGTGGACACAATGCCTTCAGAGTGATGGTCACTAAGAGTGACAGGATGGGAACAGAGGGAGGGGCAGATGGCTGAAGAGTGAGAGGGATGGTCATGCCTTACCCCTAAGGACCAGTTCACAGCAAAAGGAAGGGATCCCTCCTGCCCATGTGTCAGCTCTCCTGAAAACCTGTAGTCACTGGGCAGGGCTGTGTGTGTGTGTGTGTGTGTGTGTGTGTGTTGCTGATCAGCTCTTGGGGGCACCCAGGGAGCCCCAACCCTTCTGCAGTTTCAGCCCCTCTGGGCCATCTCCATGTCTTCCCTCGGGGGACCCCCTCAGAGAGGCCAGCCAGAGCAGGGGTAGGCTGGGCAGGGGCTCCGGGCTGTGGCATAGCCCGGGGAAGCAGGTGGGTTGCACCTTTTCCACACGGATCATCTGACTGCCCAGGAAAGGGCAGAGCGTGTGTTCTCTAGAGGGATTGATCGAGGCTGGAAAAGAAAATGTAGCTTGAGTACACATTTGCAGGCTGAGTACACATTTGCAGGCTGATAAATGAAGGCACAATTACGAGGGAGGCTTTGAAACCAGGAAGGGAATCGCCCTCCTCCCAGAGATTTCTTCCTCCCAGGCCAGCCCCTTCCACTGACTAGCAGGAAATCTCTGGAAAAGTGACTCAATTGTGCCATTGAAATGACAGGACTCAGGGGAGTGGGGGTGAGGTGGGGGCAGAGTCCCAGGGCCAGCCTTCCTCTCAGGACCTGAGTCTAGATGGACTAATCCTTATTAAATGTGCTCGGTTTTGTCCTCCACAGGAGTCTGGAAGTCTCTCAGAGTTGGTTCTCCTCTAACCATTTGTTTCCAGATGTGGATCCACCATAGCCTTGGAAAACCCTCAGTGGAGGAGGAGCCGCTGACCCACACCGTCTCTTCCAGTGAGCACCCTCCCTAGCTGCAGCACACGCCTCTCAGCCAGCCAGCCTCTCTTCCAATCGTGCGACCCTGTCTCAGCCCTCATGTGCCCCCAGCCCCCAAGGTCGAAGAAGACGTAGTGCCCACCATAAACCATTCTTCCAGAGGGCTGATTATATTGCAGCTGTTTTACCTATGCCCTCACTCTGGTGCCCCAGACCTTCATCCTGTCCATCGAGGGCATCGGTCCACTGTGGGTGTTGGTGTCTTCAGAGGAAGAAATCCTTTAATATCTGAGGAACCTAGGGAGGAGGCAGGTAGGAGGTGTGCAGACATTGGTGCGTGGCTTTCATTCTTCAGTTCTTCTAAGCAGCAACATTCTCCTGACCCCAGGTGCCCAGACCTGTGCTCAGACCCACTGGGATGGACACTGGGAATGGGGGATGAGGGTCGTGCTCTCAAGAAGCACAGCCTGCTCAGGGAGGGAAGAGATACATGTGCAAACAGCAAGAAGACCATGAGGAGCGACGTGCATGGGTTGGTGGCAGAGAACGTGGCACAGTCTGTGTCTGTGAAGTTGAATGCGTCTGCCATGGGCTGCATTTGGGAGATCAGGGTAGGCTCCTTGGATGAAGGGGAGGAGGAGGCGGAGATGAGGAGGAGGAAGGGACGAGGAGGAGGGGGAGGAAGAGGAAGAGGATGGGAGGAAGAGGAGGAGGAGGGGAGGAAGAGGGGGAGGAGGAGAGGAAGAGGAGGAGGAGGGGAGGAAGAGGAGGAGGAGGGGAGGAAGAGGAAGAGGAGGGGAGGAAGAGGAGGAGGAGGGGTGGAAGAGGAGGAGGGGTAGAGGAGGAGGAGGAGGAGGAGGAAAAATCACTGGGGCAACTTACATCCTTCTGGATGAGCTCAGCATACACCACGCAGGCGGCGGAGATCAGCTCATCAGCATCAAGGTCAATGAGGTTGTTGCAGGCCTGTGCGGGAGCGTGGGAGCGGTTGTGGGTGGGGCTGGGGCAGATGTCTCCCTGCACTCCTGGGCACAGGCAGCTGCCTGCAGCACCCAGGGAAGAAGGATGCTGCTCACAGCAGTCGCTGGGACTACCTGACTTCTCCCCAGCTTGCTCAGCTCAGTGCCTGAACTTTTATATTTTGGGGCAACAGTAAATGGTGGCTTTCATATTAGGCTCTAGGGAGTCCTGGAGTTCCCCAAAGTGCCTTAGGGCTTCTAAGGAGGACTTGGTTTGTAATTGGGATGCCACCTAAGATTTTTTTTTTCCAACAAAGACTTCAGTAGCTCTTTTTAAATGGTGGAAAACTCTAGGTCCTTCTGCATCGGCAATATCCCAGCGTCCCGGGGTTAACTGTGAGATGGTAGGTAGTCTAATGCTTAGGGACTGTTCAAGCCTCCGTTTCCCTGTGCGCTAACTAGGGGTGATGATGATAATGACAGCCTCCCTGTGTCAAGCCTGTCATGAGTCTTACACGAGCCAGTCTATTAAAGGCCCTTGGCACAGTATTCCACTCCCTTGCTCTCATTGCCCCTCCTGCCTGGAAAAGGTGGGACTGACGCCCAGCATCCCATGAGCCCCAGTCTTTCAACTGCAGTGGGGTGGGGTGTCAGGGCTTCCAGGAGCTGGGGTGGCATCTTGCCCGGGGGTGCACTCACCAGGAGAATGTCATCCCCGCCCATGCTCTCCTGTAGCACCTGCTCGCGGACCATCTGCAGCATGCTGTAGGCCACCAGCACCTGGAAATTCCTGCAGGGCTTCCCCGACAGCAGAACCTGTGGGCCAGGGTACCTGAGCCTGGGTCTGTGGCCCGAGACTGCAGATGCCCTGAGGATGGTGAGGTACCCACCAATCACCCCATCCCTGGGCCTTGCTGCTGACTTGCTCATTCATTCATTCATTCATCCACTCATCCACTCACTCAGGCACATGCTCACAGACACCCCTGGTTCCAGGCATTGTGCTTTCTACTGGGGATTCAGAAAGAATAGTTTCAGGGAATTCATTAGATAGAGGAAGGGGAGAGAGGCAGTGAGGGTGCAGGGAGACACTAGGAAATTGTTGAATCTGAGTGGGGTTTTGGCAAGCAAGGGCTGAGGGAAATTAAATGACCCAAAGGCCTGGGACTGGTCATGGGCATGGGCATGGAGACCAGCCAGCCAGGAAGAATGGGCAGGCAGATGGGAGTAGAGCTGTGGGGCCCTAAATGGCAGGTAGATGGGTGGACTGGATCATGCAGGCAGCGGCAGCCACCCGAGGCAGTGATGGGTAGGGGTGGTGTTCCTCAGGGGGTTCATCTGCTGATGAACCTGGGGATTGTGTCACAAGACTACAAGTGTGCTTGGGGGCCCACCTTCAAGAGAGCTCCACAGGAGCCAGCACCCTGGGGAAGAAGGCCGGGGAGTTGTCGGGGAAGGACAGCCTGGGAAGTGAAAGCATGGGGAGGCCACCTGGGCAGAGCTGCAGGCCCAGGCTCCCATCACACAGGCCAGAGGGTCCTCCTGTGCCAACTGCCCTGCAGAAGGCGCAGCCAGTGAGGCCTTTGTGTTAAATGAACATAAGGACAAAGTGATGCCCCAGCTTCCTCCAGCAAGGTGGGAGCAGCGTTGCCGACCTAATAAAGCCCCAAGCTACTGAACTCCATCCAAGCCAGGAAGAAACGGGGAGGCAAGGAAGACTTGCGGCTTCTACTCTGCCGGAGGGGTGGAGCCCGGCCTGGCGATCCCCAGCTGGGCACCTCACCTCCCAGAGCCTCCAGACGTCATCGAAGGACTTGAAGGCTGGCTGGAAGCAGAGGCAGAACCAGGGGAAGAGGGACTGCACGGCCCCTGCACCCTTCCCTTCTGTGAGGAGAGAGGACGAGGCTTCAGTCAGGGGAAAACACATAAGATGCAGCAGACACATGCAGATGAGGTCAAACCATGGAGCACGCAAACCCGTGGGAAATACAAAAAGTCTGCTGCCCCTTTCCAGCTGCTCTGGGAGATGATGATTTAGACTTTCAACTGTCCAGACTCCAACCCCATCAAGATCACCCTTCTCCCAGGGCCTGGAGAGGCAATCAAATGACTCTGCTGCTATCCTGTGCTCCCCATGACTAGGGACTGACAGGTCCCGGCCCCCCTCCCATGCCTCCCCTGGCATGTGGGTGAGGTGGCAGGAGGTGGGGACCACTCACTTAGGTGCTCAGCAAACACGGGGTCCAAGAAGGTGATCAGGGTGCTGAGCATGTCTAGGTTCTTGCCCACGCCTATGTTGAGGACGCAGCTGTGCTCCTGCACATGAAGGTGGGAAACAGGGAGACTGAGTCCTCCTCGGCTTCAGGGAACCAGAAGAGTCAGTCCTGCTTCCCCAGCTTCACTTCTGGAGGCTCTGTGTGTCTATCTGTGGGCTGGGCCCATGTCTCTACGTGTGTGTGTGTGTGTGTGTGTGTGTGTGTGTGTGTGCATGCACGCATCTATGTTTGACTGTGATCTGTGTGTGCAAGTCTGTATATGTTGTGAACCTCTGGGTGGCTGTTTATTGTGTGTGTGTCTATGTGTGTGTACGTTCACACATCTATGTGACTGTGATCTGTGTGTGCAAGTTTGTATTTGTTGTGCACCTCTGGGTGACTGTAGTGTGTGTGTGTGTGTGTGTGTGTGTGTAGCAGACATTCTCAACTGTGGCTCACAGTCTAGTGAGCCCAGTTGCCCAGTTCTTCCTCACAGTATAGTGTTGGGGCAAAGCCAACTGGGAAAAGGGAAGGGCAGGAGCCACATCTGCAGGGATGGTGGGGTGGAGGGAGGGATGAGGGAGGGTTCTGGGCAGCCTCTCGCAGATCATGAGGAAAGGCTTTTCAGGGAGGTGTTCCAGGGAGCTGCGCCTTCAAAACCCTTCAGCCTGGGCAGTGTGGGTACCCCTGGGGACTACTGAGTCTCCTGGTGTGCCTGGAATGCAGGTTATGTGAAAGGAACAGCCCCCAATGCCTAAGGTTATTGGATTTTATTCTGGAGGCCATGGGAGCCATGGAGGGCATGCAGGCAGGAAAGCTGTGCTTGGGGAAGGAAATGCTGGGAGAGGGTGCCATCCCTGGGCCTGGCCAGCCATGCTCTTTCAAGGTTTGGTGAGAGGTGGACCCAGAGCTTTGCTCTGTCCCCCTTCTCTACTTCAACACCACTTGGGTTTGGCATTGCCCTCCCAGGCTCCTCTGAGACCCAGGAGGCTGTTTTAGGCCTGGAAGGAATGGCTGGTGCTGTCAATGCCTGCCCAGCCTCAAGGAGTTGTTTGGGGAGTGGTGGGGGTTGGGGAGGGGCGTTCCTGAGCTCAGGTCTTGCCCTCACCGTTTTCTGCAGGAAGAACTGGAAAAGCCAGAAGGTCTCATGGTCATGTTCCACCATTAGCTGGAAGAGCATCACCATCTCATGGAAGCCCTGCTGGTACTCTGTGGCGGAGAGGGGGTTGGTAAGGAGGGGCTGGATGGGAGGGCCTGGACCCATGGTTTAGGCTGGGCCATGGGAGGGCATTGACAAGGGGAGGGTGACCAGGAGGCTGTGGCTCACCTGCCTGCGTGTTGCAGACGTAACTCAGGAGCAGGATCTTCTCTAGCCTCTTCTTGTCGATGAGGACATTGCCCAGGGGGTCTTTGTCATAGAGTTTCTGAATGTCATGTGCTGGGTTGGAAGCAAGGGGCAAGTGGATGGCACCAGATCACATCCAGCAGGTCTATGAATGAGTTCCTTCCCCCATCCCAAAGGGCAGACCCTAGGACATCCTAGAGAGGGAGCTATGAAAGGGACATCAGCCCCCGCCAGGCTCAGTTCCTCACCACACCCTGAGCTGTCTGGGTTTCTTCCCACCTCCAACCCTTTGACAAGGCCATACCCTTGGCAAGGAATGTCTTCCTCCACCCTTCCTCTCTGTCAAGTTCAAATGCAACCTTGTTCAAAGCCAAGGAAAGGAGGGAGGGAGACCAGGCAGCAGGAACATCATGCGCCCAGGGAAACATGGTACTGGGCATCCAGGGCCATCCAGGAGAGATTGGTGGGGTGGATTCGCCAAGGTTCAGCTGGCAAAACTCCAGGCATTGGTTAAAATAGCTCCCAGGACCCTGGGGCCATCCCTTCCTGGAAGTGGCTGAGAGGCAACAGGGTTGGCTTCAAACCCTCCACCCCCTTGCCCAGCCCCCTCCACCCCACTTTGCTCACTGATGTTATTACGAGTCTCTATGAAGTTCCGGTGCAGGTTTTCCAGAAGGGGCTGAATCTTCTCATACATTTCGCATAAGGCCTTGTAGTTCTTCCTGTGAGAACAGAATTGAAGCTGAATGAGGTAACATTCCACTTCTGACCAGTGGAGAACTCCGAGCAGCTGCAGCTGCTGGGCCCCAGGCAGATCCAGGGCAGCACCCTCGGCCAGCCGTGCCCCCTACCTGTGATGTTCTCTCTCATTTCCGGCTGTGCCACCCTAACTGTCCTCCACCGTGCACCTGGAGTGCAGAATGGAGACGGTTTAACCTCCTGGGCTCTGTACTCCAACTGTTGCACCTGCATCCTGACTCTACACTTTAATATCTGGGTGTCTGCTACTGGGGGCAAGCTTTGGGGGCATCACTTTCCATCTCTAAGCCTCAGTTTCCTCTCCTGTAGGATAGGCATAATACTGGCACCTGTGCCTCGGAATTGGAAGTGTTGGGTGAGGCGGTGTTTTGTGCTCCTGATTAGAATGTGATTAGTTGGTATCGCTGGCTGCTTGGTGGCCTCCAAAATGACATATCCATGTCCTAAACCCTAGGACCTGTAAATGTGACTGTGTTCAGGAAAACAGTCTTTGCAGATGTGACTAAGGTAAGGATCTCCAGATGAGAGTCCAGGATGGCCCCAAATCCAATGACACGTGTGTTTTCTGTGGTTGGTTGGTTGGTTGGTTGAGACGGAGTCTCGCTCTTGATGCCCAGGCTGGAGTGCAATGGTGCAATCTTGATTCACTGCAACCTCTGCCTGCCAGGTTCAAGTGAGGCAGAGGTAGCAGTGAACTGAGTAGCTGGGACTACCTCCTGCCTCAGCCTCTTGAGTAGCTGGGACTACAGGCTCGTGCCACCATGCCCAGCTAAGTTTTGTATTTTTAGTAAAAACGGGGTTTCACCCATGTTGGCCAGGACGGTCTTGATCTCTTGACCTTGTAATCTGCCTGCCTCAGCCTCCCAAAGTGTGAGGATTACAGGCGTGAGCCACCGAGCCCAGCTGTCATGTGTTCATATAAGAGACACACAGAGAGGAGAAGGTCTCATGACCATGGAGGCAGCGAATGGAGTGAGGCAGCCACCAGCCGAGGGTCACCGGAGCCACCAGAAGCTGGGAGGTAAGGAAGGGTTCTCCCCTACAGGCTTCGGAAAGAGCCAACACTTTGACTCTGGGCTTCCGGCTCCAGAACTGCAAGAGGACAGGCTTCTGCTGTTGGAAGTCCCCTTTTGTGGTACTTGGTAAGGGAGCCTCAGGAAATGGGTATAGGTGGGCTCTGGTCAGCGTTCCTGAGCCATTCTGAGCTTCCCAGCCTGGCCCTCACACCCCCATAGCACCCTGGGCCACTCTGGCTGAACCTTGGGTGTGAATCTCTTCCACTTCTTGTCTGGATGCTCCCTTGGGGCTGGACCTAGCCCCTGCTTCGGGCTCCCAGATGGGTGAGTCCAGCCCAGGCTACACAGTGACTCAGCTGCAATCCAGAGGAGTCCGTTCCTCTGACAGGAACGTATTCAGCAGTGGAGTCGGTCTGACTCAGCCAGTGTGTACGGAGCCCTCCTATGGATGGTCAAGGTCAGGAGAGGGCCCGAGGCAAAGGCAAACCGGTGGCAGCCTCTGCCCTTGTTTGCACTCAATCTGGGAGGGAAGACACAGGCTCCAGTCTCACTACTGCAGTACCAAGTGGCAAGGGTCTCAGAAGGGCAAACCCAGGGCCCTCAGCTTCAGGGAGGGAGCATTCCCATCAAAATCATCAGAGTGACTCACTCTTCCCCTGTGCCAGGTGCCTTGCCTATATTATCTGACTCAGCCCACACAACCGCTCTGTGAAATGGATTGTTACCCACATTTTATGGAGGAGGAGACTGAGACGTCAGCACTGAAGTTCATGGGCAAGTGTAAATCAGAGTGCTGAAATTTGAACCCAGTTTCCAAATCCAAGACAGTACAGGTTCAGAGCTGGTGTGCTATCTACTAAACCAAAGTGCCTCCTCCCTGGCTCTCTTGGAAGATCTGGGAGGGCTGCTTGGAGGCAGTATACTGCAGGATCGGGGCCTTGAAAGAAGGGTGGGCTTTTGATCGGCAGATGATAGAAAGCCATTGTGGAGAGAGGAGAAAGGATGAGCCAAGGGCAGAGGGGAGTGCAAATGTGGTCTGTGCTGGGGCAGGGGTGGGGAATGGGTGGGCAAATGAGGAGTCAGAGAGGCCATCAGTGAGGTTGGAATGTCAGACTCTGGGAGAGTGGGTGATGTGGAGCTAGGAGCAGGAAGTGTTTGGAAGAGAAGATGCGCTACTTGAAACATTACCAGTGGCACCACTGACAGTATTTCACTAAGGATGCAGGCAGCCCATACTGGGTTTGTACCTTTCCCCTGGGCACAGGGAGAAAATGCTAGGCACAGGCAGGGAGGTAGGAGACTAGACCCAGGAGGTGGCTCAGCCACGGGGGACAGGGAGGAGGTGGAGTTGGGGTGAAGCCCAGGGAAGTGGTAGCAGGCTGTGTTCAAGAGCTGCTTCAGAGAGAGAATGCATAGGCCCTAGGGAAGGATGGGACTTGAGGGTCCAGGGGTAAGAGGAGTGTCTGGGACCGAGCCCATGACTGGCAGGCTGCGGGCTGGTAAAGGGAGCTCGGGGAGAGAAGGCACTGGCACGAATTGGCACCTCCTGTGTGCTATGCCTGGGTCAGGAGGCATGGGGTTCCTCTTGGAATGAGAAGTGACACTGTGTTCTGTGCCTGGGTCAGGAGGCACGGGGTTCCTTTTGGAATGAGAAGTAGGGGGCAGAAGACAGTCTGCCGGCTAGGGTGGCAACACCTGCCACCTGCCGGGCCCCTCCCACCGCCACAGGGTCGTGTTCTACCTCCTCGTGCTGTCCACGGTGAGCCGCTCATCCTGGGAACTCTGCCATGAGAAGTAGCCAGTGAGGAACTTCCAGGCTTCAGTCCTCACGAAGGGGTGCAGACCCTGGGGTGGGGGTGGGAAGTGGGGGTGACGGGCTCTTAGATGCCTGCCGAAAGGGTTTCATCCAACGCCGCACCTGCCCCCTGCCCATCCATGCCCCCAGTTCCAGGACAAGGCCAAGGGGAGCTTGGGGACCCACCCTTTCCAGGATGTTAACACAAATGAAGTCCCGTGACTTGGCCAAGTGGCCATTCTCATCAAAGAAGCTGTCCCATTCTGTCTTGTCAATGGGTGGTTTTCTCTTCACCTGGCAAAAGCAACCAGTTCAGCCTTAGGTTAGGAGCCTTCCGCTTTTAAGTGTGATTTTGAATAACATATTCTGGACTTTGCAGTACGAATCAAAGCGCACAGCCTGACTTACTCCTGGAAATCTACCTTGAGGACGTTACTGAAAATACATAGAAAAAATCCTGTGTGCACCATAATTTTCATTGCACGTTACTTATCAACATGAGAAATGCAAGCACTCTAAATGTTCTGCAATAAGGGGGTAGTTAAGTAAACTATGGTTTATGTGCTCAATGAAATACTGTGAGGCGTATAAATATCGTTCGCAAGGAATGAATAATAATCTGAAAAAATACAAATGTTAACAGAAAAAAGCAGAATACAGAGCTGTAGATCTAGCATTTTCTCTATGTACTATACTCTATACTACGGCTGTGGCACTTATGGTAACACCTCTCTATGCATCATGCTGCTATATATTACAATAAGAACACCACATAAATTCCAATCTTTAATGCATTGACTGCTATAAAGTTGGTAGAAAAAAGACAGAAAATACAGCAGTGATTATCTTTAAGTGATGGGAAATAAGTGTTTTTGTTTTTTTTGGGTTTTCTTCTGAGACAGAGTCTTGCTCTGTCACCAGGCGCCAGGCTGGAGTGCAGTGGCATGATCTCGGCTCACTGCAACCTCCGCCTCCCAGGTTCAAGCAGTTCTCCTGTCTCAGCCTCCTAAGTAGCTGGAACTACAGGCATGCACCATCACACACAGCTAAATTTTTGTATTTTTAGTAGAGATGGGGTTTTATTGTGTTGGCCAAGATGGCCTTGATCTCTTGACCTTGTGATCTGCCCGCCTTGGCCTCCCAAAGTGCTGGGATTACAGGCGTGAGCCACCACACCTGGCCTTTCTTGTATTTTTAAAATTTTCTGTCATAATGTGTGTGGCTTTGATATTGGGAATATATAAAATAAGCATTAATTAGACACAATTATGAGCTCCTCTTTACCTTTCCTGGAAATGTAGAACAGTTCATTACAAAGGATGGTTTCTGCTTTTGATAAGGATGTGTGTGTGTGTGTGTGTGTGTGTGTGTGTGTGTGTGTGGTGTATATATCTGTGTGGGGTGTGTGTGTGTTGGAGAGAAGTGAGTGCACTACATGCAAAGTAATTTAAAATGCTTACAAAATAATAACTAGGGTCAGGAGCAATGGTTCATGCCTGTAATCCCAGCACTTTGGGAGGCCAAGGCAGGTGGATCACTTGAGGTCAGTTCGAGACCAGCCTGGGCAACGAGGTGAAACACTGTCTCTACTAAAAATACAAAAATTAGCCAGGCATGGTGGCGCATGTCTGTAATCCCAGCTACTTGGGAGACTGAGGCAGGAGAATCATGTGAACCTGGGAGGCAGAGGTTGCAGTGAGCTGAGATCACACCACTGAACTGCAGCCCTGGCAACAGAGCAAGACTCTGTCTCAAATAATAACAATAACAGCAACAGGAACAAGTAGAAGTTAGAGCTCCTGTTGGACTAAGAGAAGATTCTTTCTTCCTAGAGTATTCTCTTCTGCTAAGAGAATAATGTCTTGAAATCCCACATTGCAGGCATAAAGATGTGCTGATGGACAGAGCTGAGTAGACATGTTCATATGCACACTCCCAACTTCCCATCAGTACACATCTGGATATGTGACTCAAAATTAAATTTGCATACAAATCACTTAAGGGTCTTCTCCAGGTGCAGATTCTGATTCAGAGGGTTCGAGGTGGGGCCCGAGGTGATGCATTTCTAACAAGCTTCTGAGTGACAGGTGATGCTTCTGGTCCACAAACCACATGAGTATTAAAGTATTAGAAGGCAAAACAGGCCGGGTATGGTGGCTCATGCCTATAATCCCAGCACTTTGGAAGGCCTAAGTGCGCAGATCACTTGTCAGGAGTTCGAGACCAGCCTGGTCAACATGATAAAACCCTATATCTACAAAAAAAAAATATATATATATATATATATAAATTAGTTGGGTGTGGTGGTGGGTGCTACTCAGGAGGCTGAAGCAGAAGAATTGCTTGAACCTGGGAGGCAGAGATTGCAGTGAGCCAAGATCATGGCATCACACTCCAGCCTGGGCGACAGTGCGAGGCGCCATCTCAAATAAATAAATAAAAGAAGGCAAAACAACATTGTTAACTAAAAATAAGAGCTTGCAAGCCCCAAATTGGGACAATTTCCGCTAACTCTATGTTTGATGGAAATGGATTGAGAAGCACATTTTTTAATAACTCATGCATGCCCTGTCATCTGAACCAAAATAGGACATATGGGTCCAAGAAGTTACAAATCTCAGTGTTGGCCTAACCCTGGGCAGCAGGGTCTGCCCTGATGGGTGCCCCACCTGCATAGACACTGTCACTCATCAGAGCGAGCTTTCTGCCCCTCTGATTGTCATCATGTTCTCCCAACCTACACTCATTCAGAAACTGCAGCACTCAGCATGCAATGTGGCAGGAAGCAGAAGGAAACAGGCAAAGCTGGGCTGTGTCCCGGGATCCTTAACTATAAAAGGAAATGCTTTAACTTTAGAAATGCATTTCCATAAGGATTTTAGTCAACTTGTCCATTTCTATAATAAAGGCAGCTGTGATTCTGGTGGAGATTGCATTGAATCTGTAAACCAGTTTGGGAGAATAGATGACACGATCGCGTCCTCTGGCCCATCAACACTATATATTTCTCCATGCATGTAGGTCTTTTAAAATTTCTCTCAGCAGTGTCTTGTAGTTTTTAGTGTCCAGGTCATTCATATATTTTGTCAAGTTTATCTGTAAGTATTTCATATTTCAGATGCTACTATAAAAGGTATTATTTTAAAATTTAAATTTCTAATAGAAACACAATATACTTGTATATATCGATCTTGTATTTCTGCAACAGAGCAAAACTCACTTAATACTCCTAGTGGCTGTCTTGTGGATTCCACAGAATTTTTGACACAGACCAGGGGTCAGCAAGTTATGATCCATGGGTCAAATCTGGCCTCCAATCTGTTTTTCTAAATAAAGTTTTATTAGGACACAGCTACACCCACTCACTCATTTCTGTCTGTGGCTGCTTTCATGCTACAATGGCAGAGCTGAGTAGCTGCAACAGAGACCGAATGGACACAGAGCCAAAGATTCTATTGTGACCTTTGCAGAAAAAGTTTTCCAACTCTGACACAGATGAGCATGTTCATCTGTGAATATCGGCAGTTTAACTTCTTCCTTTCAAGTATGGATGCCTTTTATTTATTTTTTCTTGTTTTACTGCACTGGCTAGAACTCAAGTGCAATGTTGAATAAAAGCGGTGAGAGCAGACATCCTTGCTTTTTCCTGATCTTAGAGGAACAGCATTCAGGCTCTCACAACTCAGTATGACGTTAACTCTCGGCTTTCTATACAGATGCCTTTTATCAGGTTGAAGACTGTCCCTTCCAGTTGTAGCATGCAGAGAGTTTTTAATTAGGAATGGTTGTTGGCTTTTGTCAAATAATGTTCTGCATCATTGAAATGGACATATGGGTTTTCTTTTTTGAGTTTGTTAGCGTGGTAAATTGTATTGAATAATTTTGAATGGTAAATAAGCCTCGCATTCCTGGGATAAGCCCCACTTGGTGATGACATACTATGCTTTTTATACATTGTTGAATTCTATTTGCTAAAATTTTATTTAGAATTTTTGTATCCGTGTTCACAAGGACCATTTATCTGTGAGTTTCTTTTCTTGTAATATCTCTAATTTTGGTATCAGGGCAATGTTGGCCTCATAGAATGAGTAGTATTTCTATTTTTTTTTTTTTTTTTTTTAGTTTTCTGGAAGTGTCTGTATGGAATCGGTATTATTTCCTTTTAAAATGTCTGGTAGACCAGTGAAACCATCTGGGCTAAAGTTTTCCTTGTGGGAAAGTTTTTAACTACAGATTCTATTTTTTATTAGATATTAGGATGGAGTCAAAAGAAATTGCTTTATTTTTGACTTTTAAAAATTAGGAATTTATAGGAACAGGACATCTTCCTTCTAACTCACTTTAAATAATAAAAGCAAGTAATACAGGAGACAGGAAGGAATTAATAAAAGCATAAAAATGACAGAAACCCAAAGAAATTAGTTATGAAAACAAATGCATTACATTCCCTTGTTTGCTGTAAACATTCAAAAGCAGTACCGATGATGCGCCAGATGCTGTTCTCAGCACTTTATAGGTATCAGCCCATTTCACCTTCACAACTGTCTATGAGGTAGAATAGTTCTTGTACCGTTTTACAGATCAGGGAACTGAGGCCATAGGAGGGTTAATTAGCATAGCTGAGATCACACAGAAGTTATCAGAGCTGAAGTTTGAATCCAAAGCTGTTGGATTTGCTCATAACTGTGTCTAATTAATGCTTATTTTATATATTCCCATGATCAAAGCCATGGATTCAGAGGCTTAACCTTCAAGAGTCAGAGGCTTAACCCTAATGCCGTGCTGGGGGTGGGAGGGGCAGTGGGAAGGAATTAAAAGGCAAGGGTTTTCCACTCAAATGAAAAAAAATATGTATCGTACACAAGCGGTGAACAAGAGATACCTTAAAATCAAATGCCCTACAATGATTAAAAAATAAACGATGAACAAAACGTAATACCGAAATTAAAGTAACACGCACAGCACACCGTAACAAAAGATACAGCATCAACACAATAAGGCAGAAATAATTAGAAACATCGCAAGAAGACATCTGTTGAGTATTCAGAGAATTCGCGTTTCTAAACCTCTACCTGCAACAATTGGCCATCTGCCTACTTTGCCGTGGTTGAATTTGTTTATAAAAAGTCACTGCTTCTTCCTTCTAGGAAACCCCATTTCTCTACGCCCACCAGTTCCCTGTATCTCTCCCAACCTAAGCAAACTATGGGCCACCAACAAGACTATCTAAGACACTTGCTCGCAAGTCAAGGATCAGAACAAGAAGCCTGTTGACTCACAGAAGGCCAAGGAGGAAAGGTCACTTGGAAGTCTCTCTACGTGCTCACCACCTACCTGCCCATGCTAGAAATCAGACAATGCGTATCCGGGCTCCTTTAATGTGACGGAGATTGTTAACTCAGAGGCTTCTCAAATCAACCTTCATCTTCCCGTATTCCTCTGTTCTTTGCTCAACTAACCTATTAGCACCCTTCCCCATGCACTGGGTATCATAATGACCTGGTAATCCATCAGGGAGAGTATGCAGTCTGCAATCCTGCCTTTCCTAGTCTCCTGGGAAGCATACGACTGGGTAAGGAAAACTTTTTGAGGGTTTTGATGTCAAGTTTCTCTGAATACTCATAGTCACAGAGCCTACAATAAAGCCCAGGGAAGGTCATTGACTTTGCTTAAGGTTCTCTTTATTTCTTGTGTTGGTGGGGTGGACAGACTCTCTCTGTCACCCAGGCTGGAGTGCAGTGGCGCGATCTCAGCTTACTGTAACCTCCATCTCCCACGATCTCAGCTTACTGCAACCTTCATCTCCTGGGTTCAAGTGATTCTCCTACCTGTCTCCCAAGTAGCTGGGATTACAGGCGCTGGCCACCACTCCAGGCTAATTTTTTGTATTTTTTAGTAGACACGGGGTTTCACCATATTGGCCAGGCTGGTCTTGAACACCTGACCTCAGGTGATCCACCTGCCTCAGCCTCCCAAAGTGCTGGGATTACAGGCATGAGTCAGCACGCCTGGCCAGGGTTCTCTTTTTTACTCCAGTTCACCTGAGGACAAGATACACTCCCAATCATAACAGGGGGTCCCCACTTCAGCAATTGTTACCAACCCAGGTGTGGAGGGTGCATCATCAGTACAGCACAGTGATGAAGGAAATGGTTTAAAACAGTGGTTCACAAAGCTAATTGTGCATCAGAGTCCCCCGGAGGGATGAGTTAAAAAAAACACAGATCTCAGCAGGACGCGTGGCTCACACCTGTAATCCCAGCACTTCTGGAGGCCAAGGCGGGTGGATTGTCTGAGCTCAGGAGTTTGAGACCAGCCTGCGCAACACGGTGAAAACCTGTCTCTACTAAAAATACAAAAAATTAGCCAGCATGGTGACATGTGCTTGTAGTCCCAGCTACTCGGGAGGCTGAGGCAGGATTGCTTGAACTGGGGAGGCCGAGGTTGTAGTGAGCCGAGATTGTGCCACTGCACTCCAGCCTGGGCGACAGAGCGAAACTCCATCTCAAAAAACAGAAGACAAAAAACAACAAACACAAGCACAAATCTCTGGGCTTCGTCTCAGGTTTCTCGTTCAGAAGATCTGGGACCCAAGCATCTGCATTTCTTACAAGTTCACTGTTGGCATTAATGCTGCAGGTTTGGGTGCCACACTTTGAGAATACTGGTTTTGGCATCCCACCTGTCTGGGTCTAAATACCAGCTCTGACACTTACAAGCTGTGTAACAGTAGGCAAGTTACGAAGTGTCTGTGACTCAGTTTTCTCATTTATAAAAGGAAGATAGCAGCATTATTCACCCCACAGAGTTGTGATGAGAACGAATGGCTATAAATAAAGCATTTAGGACAGTCATCATACATAATAAATGCGATGTGACAGTTTATTAGCCTTCTCTAAGCTCAGAGAAATGAGAAAGATGTAAAGAAAATTTAAAGCAAGGCCTGGTGATAATTTGCAATAAAGCCGTAACATTTAAAACTCAGGGAGAGAGGTGTCCACTTTGCATTTTTATGTATCACTCTCTTAATCATTATGATTAATGAGATTTGAGATTGGCTAAAGTTATTGTAATTAGTTATGATTTTGAAAAACATACTGCGTGGAAAATTCTTATGACTGAAGCCAACTTCTAACCAATAGAAATACATCTTGTAAACTGGGTTTAGCACTACCTACTAACAAAAGCATTACTGCCACCTGGTGGCAGTATACCAAAATTGTTGGCAAAAAGCGCTGATGACAATCTATCAGTATCTTCAGGCCTGCACTCACAAACCTACAACTCAATAAAGTTAGAACAGGACATCTGGGGAGAAGGTATTGCTGGCTTGGAAAGAAGGTGAAAGGGGGCTTGGATGTCTGAGTCCTGTTCTTGGGCTGACAGTAAGACTAAGGTACAACTGCCCTTGCTCCATCTTCTATGTTATCTCGGGGTTCTAGCTTTTTACACCCAGCAGGGGAAAATGGCCCCAGTGCCAACCACAGGCTGGGGAGGGAGGCACTCAAGGCTGATGAAGAACACGTACCAGGATGAAGGAGGCCGACTGTCTGGCAGAGAGGCTGTTTTCAGGAGAGAGGGTGGTCATGGCCCCTGCTGGCTTCCAAACAGCTCTAATCAGAGCTCACTTGGAGCCCTAGTGATGCTTAATCAGCAGGTAACTGTGATCTTCCTTTTCAGAGATAGGTTACATCCCTAAGAGGAACTGGGCTGCTCCTGACCCTTCCATGCTTGAACAGGGCCAGCCATGTCCGTGTCACAAGATCCCCGGAACCCTCATCACAATGACCCTGGAACACAGGAGCACCCACCTTTAGAGATGAGAGCAGAGGGATTAAACCTGCTAGTTACGCAAAAACAAAACAAACCAAGCAACAAAAAACCCTGCAGTACCCGTAATGGAGGTTGGATTTAGATAGAGGATGTGGGGATCAGTGTGAGCTGTGCTGGTCAGGGAGGGCTTCCAGGAAGAGGTGGGCCATGAAGCCTTCCTCTCTACTCTGACTCTTCCTCTGAACTCTAGCTGGACTCCTTCCCTATTCCACCAGACCAGTGCCCAGAGTTGAAGAATACCTAGAGACTAGGCTTCAGATGTCTTGGGTACCAGTTTCAAAGATTCAGAATCAGTATGTCAGGGCTGGAACCTGGGGGGCTGGGGAATGTGTTTTGGTATGCCTCCTGGGGTGACTCAGCTTCAGCACTGGAATGGTAGCTTCTGGGGTGGAGACCAGTTTTATTTAGCTTTCTATCCAGAGCACTTAGGATGGTGCCTGAGTAGCTGAATGAATGATAATGGAGTGGGAGAATAAATGAAGCTGTCTTAGATCTCATCTCACTTCTCTCTCTGTATGACAGAGATTTGTGCCTGCCCATATCCCCTGCTACCCTGAGTTCCTCTAGCCCAGGGTCAACGTCAGATTCTTCTGTGGTTCCCTCTCCCGATGTCAGTTCTGCCATCACCTGGCACTTGGGAAGTGCTCAATATATATATATATTTTTTTGACGGAGTTTCGCTCTTGTTACCCAGGCTGGAGTACAATGGCGTGATCTCGGCTCACCGCAACCTCCGCCTCCTGGGTCCAGGCAATTCTCCTGCCTCAGCCTCCTGAGTAGCTGGGATTACAGGCACGCGCCACCATGCCCAGCTAATTTTTTGTATTTTTAGTAGAGACGGGGTTTCACCATATTGACCAGGATGGTCTCGATCTCTTGACCTCGTGATCCACCCGCCTCAGCCTCCCAAAGTGCTGGGATTACAGGCGTGAGCCACCGTGCCCGGCCCGGGAAGTGCTCAATATTTATGGATCCAAGGAGTCGGCTCTACTTCGCTCTAGCATCGCTGTTCTCCACCTTAAGCATTGCTTGCCTTCTACTCAGGTCCCATCTGGCTCTAAAGCATCCTTAGTCATTAGGAAATGATAGTAATTAGACCAATCAAATTGGAATCAGGAGGTAGGTGTTGGAATTTGGACTCTGACCTCAAATTTGGATGCTCCCTGCTTCTGAGCTACAGATTCCCCAGCCATGAAATCAGAGTACAGTCAACCTCTGGCTTTCACCTCCTTATTAACATAATGAATCGCCATCCATATGGAAGTCTTCTGTGGACACAATGCATTGTTTCATTTACCGTTTCTGTTGTGCTTGCCTGCAGCACTGCAGGAGGCTTTTTAAATCAAAACGCGTTATTACCTACCTCTCCCCACTGCCCACTACCCTAGCCCAACCTAGGAGAGAGTTAAGAGCCTCTCCCCTTTAATCTACGGCCCCTAGGTCTTCATGGAGCCAGAGGTGGGCAACTTTGAGTAGGGAAGGTGTGGAATAAGGATGGGGCTCCTTGCACATCGGGGTGGCTTCATTCTGAGGTCTGCAAGAAGTTTCCAAAGCAAATGTTTGGAGCAAGAGACATAGGCATCATTTGGGATTATCTATGTCTCTGTTCTTCCACATTAACCATGTAGGCAACTGAGAATTCACTGCAATTGTTCTTTGAGAAGATGAGGATCAGGTTGGGAATTGGAAACATCTGAGAGCGAAATCCAACCTGGCTTCTAAAGTGAACATGGTGGACATACATCAGCTACTGAACTTCTTTTAACCTCTGGCTCCCTATCTGTGAATTGTAGGTAATAACCCTTCCCCAAACGAGCCAATACAGTTTAATCATATAAAAAAAAAGCCTCATAGCAACCAGATGGAGGCTTAATATTCAAACGGAACTGCAGGACCCTGCACCTCAAGCAAAGGGGGCTTTGATTCCCTCCCTCTTTCTTCTTTTTTCAGATTCTGAAAGGGATTACATGTGTCCATTTTTTTTTCCAGGGCTGAATGGTCCTTACCATGTTCATTTATTTACATAATTGCCCAAGTGCCTTAGATTCCCACATACTGGTTTTCTGTTTTGCATTTTTTCCTCTCTGATGGGAATCCAGCATTCTGCTTTAAATTTCTGTACATGGGGATTCTTCGGGGACAAAATTATTTTAGGTGTTTGCATTAAAGAAGTCCAAGGAGGGAGAAAACCACTCGGCCCATCTTTTCTCTGCTGAATCTAGCTGTCCGTTAGCCGGTGGCGGCTATGGTGTGAGAAGAGGAGATTGGAGGGGCCTGGGAAAGACATTTCGTCAGTGAGAAAGCTCATAGGCTTTGGTGACAGAAAGACCCGGTTCAGATCCTGGCTCTGCCGCACGCCAATGATGTGACCTTGGTTGAGGAAGGCAGTCTCATGCATGTGGTCTTTTAACCTCTGTTCAGCCCCCTACAAGCGGCCTTGAGCTGGAAACACTTCCTTACCAAGAGATAAGGAGCTCCCAGAGCCTGTGCCGGGCTTATCGCCTTATGTGGGAATATCCTTTCTCTGTTCCAAGCTCAGTGTGTACTCCTTTGTTCTGCTTAAGCTTGCGTATCATGTGGCAGGCGCCTGGCCAACCCCACTGTGATGTCTCTTCCAGGAGGGGAGGAAACAGGGTCCTTCCCCTGCTGCACCAGAGGGGCGCGTGCAAACCATCGCCCTGTGTCCTCAGTAGGAGGAGGCCCCTGGCGTGGAGGACTGAACCCATGACTGCAGCTGATCTCGCTCAGTCTCTCTGTGTGGGTAAAGTGCTGTTCCATCCGGTGCCTGTGTGAGTCGTGTCTTTCTTGGTGACACCTATAAACCATGGAGTGGGCTGACATCCTGGTACTGCTGCTCCTGGTGGCCGGCATTGTACAGTTTGCCATCCTCCACACAGCGCGACTCCTCTACCCTGCCCGAGTCTCAGCATCCTCAACTGTGCTGTGAGGATGGTAATGCTTTATGGAACTGAAGGGTAATTGAAGCAGTGCACATAAAACTCCAGCATGTCCCTGGAGCACAGGAGACACCCAATGCATGGTAGTATCTATCTATTTATTTATTTACTTATTTATTGAGACGGAGCCTCGCTCTGTTGTCCAGGCTGGAGTGCAGTGGCACAATCTCAGCTCACTGAAACCTCCGCCTCCTGGGTCCAAGCAATTCTCCTGTCTCAGCCTCCCGAGTAGCTGGGACTACAGGTGTGCACCAAGCCTGGCCAGTTTTTGTATTTTTAGTAGAGACAGGGTTTCACCATGTTAGCTAGACTGGTCTCACACTCCTGATCCCAGGCAACCCTCCTGCCTCAGCCTTCGAAAGTGCTGGGATTACAGGGGTAGTTATTATTACCCTCAGCATCATCAGCATTATTACTAATGCCTAGGGCTTGTCCACAAAAATTACACTGAAGATTTCCTTCTGCGAACTAGACTCGCATGCATCAAGATGCTGCCTGCTTCCATGAGGCTTGTAATAACATCCATGTACAAGTTCAAAGCCCCTCTGAGCCAATTTCCACTTCTCTGCATGTCTCCGGGAACCTACAGGACCAGGATTACTATAAAAGCAGGTAAAGCCAGTATTAAAAACCAGGTTCACCCCAGTTTCCTTCATGTCAGTACAAGACACAACTCTGGGAAACAAATGCCATGCAATGGTGTCCCTGTTAAAAAGAATCAGTCCCTTCAAAGGATACCTACCCATTACTGTCTAAGTCTGCAGCATGCTAGATCTTGATATAAATCACATGCATTCTGATTTTATTTCCTTGCAGAATGCTGAAGCTCTTCCATGCTTTAGCTGTCCTCTCCTCTTTGCCCCTCTTTGTGGGGGACCAGGATAAGTTTAGAGTTTTGACATCAGGCTTTCTGCCCTCAATCCCAGGGAGCATGGCATTTCTGACCATGTTGGGGATGGCTGCCTGTCATGTGTCACTAGCGTGAGGGTGGCAGGGGCAGGGGGTGGTGGAGATGGCACTCTTCTGTGCACCAAGGTAGTTGGATTACCCAGAGCAATAGCCAGCCCAGCCACCCTAGAAGTCCCCTGCCTAGTTGGAGGGCTAAGGAGTTACTACACTTGGGGCCATCTCTAAGATCTTGGGAGCCCCCTCTTGCATTCTAGAAATAACCCATAGGAGCAACTCTGGACAAAAGAGAGACACTCAGCTGTGGGCAACTGAAGTGGAGCTCCTGAGAGCTCTCCCCACCCAGTCCTGCTCTGTAAGGGGTCTTCCTCATGGTTCTCCCTGCTACCTGTCCCCCAGCCCAGGCTTCTGGGCCACCACCAAAGCAGGTAGCTCTGACTCACCAAGCCCAGGCTGTGCCTTTCCTGCTACCCATGTCTCTTGTTCATTTGGTCCCCATCTTGCCTGCAGACCTCCCAACTACAGCTGCCTTTTATTGGGCACTTGCTGTATACCTCCAATAAAGTGCTTTACTTAAGTGAGTACCTGCCTTGAATACTCTATGAAGCCAACAGAAACTCTGAAAGGTTAAGTAACTTGCCTGGGATCGTCCAGCCAGAACGTGGGGAGCCAACAACCTTCCCAGCTCTGCCTAGCTTTGCCACTAGCCAGACCGTCACAGTGTCACGTGGAGCTGCCTCCCCCGTCCTGTTGGCAGTGGTGGGCATCCTGGAGCTCCTAGCTGGCTCAGGGGACTGTAATCCTACAGCCCAGTGGGGGGGGGGGGAGTTTGCTATAACTCCCTCTCCAGATTTTAAAATAGTTATTCAGTCTAAAAACAGACTCTGTTGTGCTGGTTGGAGGTGGGGGTGGGGAAGTATTGCAACCTAGATCATAGAGAGGATGGAAAGAGTGCAATGGAGAGGAAAAAGGACAAGAAACTCCAGAAAATGCCAGGGACTGCTCATGGAGAAAAATAACTTGACTAATTTCTCTAATTTTATTAAAATAAATTTTTAATGA